TTTGATGGGCGGAACAGAATGATGTTGGCGCGTCAACGGCCTGGCAAGACGGTCCATTTGAAATTTCAATTGGCAACATTCAAATGGCCAGAAGACGGTCAGCTACAAAATTGGAGACGCGTTGTATTCATTTTGAATTTCCTGGCAATTTCCACTTGGCAGGCAGCCGACACCATCTGGAAGACGGTCTGATACAAGCAGCAAGACGGTCTGATACAAAGGCAAGACGGTCAGCTACAGATCAGCAAGACGGTCCGCTTCAAACTGGAAGACGGTCTGATACAAAGTGAAGCTGGCTGAACGGTTGCTCATCTCTTGTCTACCACACAGACGTTCCAATCTCAAGATGACCTCCGTCAATTGTCCGGTGTGCGCCTTCAGCTACTCCATCACCAACATCACTAACCACATCCGTAAGGCGCACGCTGGTGTTCACATCACACAAGATGCAGCAGCAGCTTGTGGTCTGGTGGCGTGCAGCTGCGGTCAGGGTTACAAGGGGGTGTGAAAAACAAATCGAGTAGGGTTGCTTAAGCAAAGTTGTAGATATAGGCCTAAATAGCATGTTTGATTAGTCAACCCTACGCAAGTTACATAATATTCTTTTCCGTAACGGCCCCGTGAAGTTTGGCCCGACCCGAGTTGACACGCCAAAAATGTGAGATATTGGACACGCTCCCATAAGTAACTATACCTCAAATGATGCCAAAAGAACATCCTGAAAGTATCACAGCGTTGGTGCAAGTGGTTGTTGATGTATGGTGATGTTTATGTTTTCTGACATTTTGGCCAAAGCTGTAAGGGTCCCCCCTTACAAAGTGGGAAAATGGACCCCCTCCAATGTCTCCGATGCCTTAAGTAAACTTGTTGGGGGATGTCAGGAGAGGATAGGATCAAAGTTTCAGACAATATGATGGAGGTATGGCTGAGCTATGGCGGGTCAACACCGTCAACCCTAACCCTACTTTTGTCAACATCACACCGGCACACGTCACACAAGTATGGTTGGCTATGTACAGGGTTTTCTATTTTTTTGTGGGGTTTTGTGGGTGTTCTATATGTACANGGGTAGGTGGAGTGCTGACCATGCTGGTCAGAGTACACCCAGAGGGGGGTGTCATAGGCCTCTGCCAGCCCCAGGATGGCCAGCTCATCCCCCCAGGTGCCCATCTTGGCCATCTGAGTGAGCCAAGTGGTGGCCCCCAGATGTCCCGATCCCTCCGCTGCGTAGGCAGCCACCAAGTGTGGCTTGCCCAGGAGGTGGGCCACTGTCTTGGCCCTGACCTCCATGTGCCTGTCCTGCGCACCATAGAGGTGCTGGGCCATGGCCCTGAACAGGCAGTTGCCATCCTTGGCAATACCAGTGGACTGCTTGACGCCTTGCAGTCCTGACACCTCCACCATGGGCCTCAGCGGATAGTAGCAGTCCAGCATTGGCGTGAAGGGCAGCTCCAACTGCAGGACCATCTCAAAGCTGGGAGACCGCTGCCTGAGGGTCCTGGAGCGCAGCTGCATGGTGGTGGTGGCCTCTGGCGCCTCTGGAGTGGGCAGCCTCTCTGCCAGCGCCATCTCTGCCGGCGGGGTGGGCAACCGAGGCGCCTCTGCTGGCTGGAACTCCTCTGGGAGGAGCAGCTCATCTGCCGCCACCATGTGGAGGATGAACTCCCTAGCCTGGCCCTGGTTCAGCTTGAAGCCACACTGGGTGCACTTGAGCCTGAACTGCTTGACGTGGCCGTCCCAGATGTAGGTGTATCCAGGGTCAGGGCAGTTCCAGCAAGGGAGCTCCCGTCTGATGGCCAGGAAGAGGGCCTTCATGGCTGGCACACCCTTGATGTGGTCCAGAGAGTACTGAGGCGCTGCAGGCTCTGGCTGGGGGGCAGGGGCAGGCTCCTCCTCAGCATCGTCCAGCCACCAGGCATCAGCGGCGTCGAAGGCAGTGGTCCTCATGCGGCCTGTGTTCCAGCCCAGGGCATTGAAGAGGTCCGTCAGCATCTGCTTCTTGTGAGGCCGCAGCTTGGCATGATCATAACCAATGAAGGTCCGTTCTGCCTCTGCCTTGGCCAGCAGGTGCTTGATGTTGGCCAGGTAGTCTGCCTTGGTGACCGTGATGATCCTGAGCAGGTAAGGCTAGCCCTAGGCCGTCGTCCGGCTTGGCGTTGGGTTAGGGTTAGGGTTAGGGTTAGGGTTAGGGTTAGGGTTAGGGTTAGGGTTAGGGTTAGGGTTAGGGTTAGGGTTAGGGTTAGGGTTA